GAGTTGGTACATGTCATGATGACAAATACTTCTGTGCAAGTTTAATTCTTGACTCTTGACATTGGCTAATTCAAGCGAATCAATTCCAAGGGTTAAGATTGTATCTAGATATTCCCTTCTATGACCACTTTGGTGGGACCAGTACTGGGATTTCTATGTTACTCCACCTTGAAGTTTTCTGTAATATATAGAATTAACATTTAGTCAAGAAAAGTGAAACATGCAATTAATTTCCTTTTCCAAAAACATCTAATATTAGAACGATATTATCTACTTCTAACTTTTTTATTTTTGTTGCTCCCTGCAGGTCAAAACACCCACCCTTTTACTTTTGGGTGCTCTGGATCTTCGTGCACCAGTTTCTACTGGGCTGCAAGTAAGCTAATATGTTCCCCTCTTAATGAACACTTTAGTCTATTTAAATAGTTTTATAAGAATAACAAGTGCTTGGATAATAATTCATATTGTCTGCATTGCATCAGAAAGTGAATGAAACATAAAATACACAAACCATTGGAATCTATAAATTTATTTATTTATAATCTTTTTTCTTTTAAAGTGGTTTCCTTTGTCCCCCAAGTGGGTGGGAAGAATTTGATGCATACACGGTTACATAATTGTAATGATGTGAAATTGGAAGAGTGATCTGGATGTTTATTGTTTGTAGTATGCTCGGGCATTGAAAGAGAAAGGAGTTCCTGTCAAAGTCATTGTGTTTCCTAATGATACTCATGCAATTGAGAGGTAAAGCAAACACACGATCCAAACGTGCTTCTGCATTGTAGTAGTCTCTCAGTGTCAGTCACTATTACAATCAAGCTCATAAAATTTCATACTTGGGTTTCAATTCCATCTGATTCCAACTCCTGTTTGCAGGCCGCAATCAGACTTTGAGAGCTTTCTGAGTATTGGTGTGTGGTTCAAGAAGTATTTATCGTAAATGAGCGGGCATTTCTCCCCTGCTTTTACTGCCTCAATTCGATTTCGAGAGCTTACTTAATATGGCTGTTTCTATGGGCAGTACAAATTTCTCATGCCATGCTGTGCATTAAAGTTACACTCAGTAGGTGTCTCAAAAATAAAATAGTTCTCTCAGTAGGTTGGATCCACTTATAACCAAACTCTTGACGTTGAACTTCTTGAACTGTCCAAGCCTTTGTCCATCATGTATAATCTTCAGTCTTTTTTATTTGCGTTAAGTATATAAAACCACCTAAACTCCCATTTCAGTCTTTTGTGGTGCATGATCTTTATAAGTTGAACAAATTATACGCAAACTCAAATAAAATCTACGTATAGAATCTTCATCAGCCAAAAACTGTTAGTAAGTCTGTTAAATAATTCTTAGTGCCCTCTAAATCAAATGCTAAATTAGTTAAGTAGCAAGCGATTTGCCCATTTTGATCATATTTAACTGGACAGAATACAGATGCCTATTTTGTTCACATCTCACATTTGGTATATGCAATACAAAACTAGAGTGAAGTTGCCAACATGCATATTTTTAATTTTTGGTGAAACGAAATGCCAACATGAATACATTGAAAACAATGAATCCAGTGAAAGATTTCGCATAACCCAATAAAAAACAGTGGCTTAGCCAGTCAACCAGGCTTGAACATGAGTCTAACCCTACCTTAACCAGACACAGAAATGTCTAAAAATGGGCATATAAATTATTTGAACTCAGAATTTCTCCTGACTTTAGGGTTTTTTTTATTTGGAAGATTCACTATTATACCCAATATACGAGTTTAAATTATTAAAAAATTATATATGAAATGGATTTTAGAAACACACCAAAAGCCCATTTACAACATAAAAAAAAGGGCTTTTAATTTCTTTTAAATGATAAAATTGCCATTAATTTTTTAAAACAAATCTAAATCCAAAAGCCCAAAACACTCAATAGGGCACAAACTTAGAATTTCCTATGACTTTAGGGTTTTTTAATTTTCTATTTAAGCCAACTCTTGTATTTGACAGTTTATTCATAGAGCCGACGTTTTCTCTTTCTTTTCTGTTCGTCTCCTCTTCTCAGAACCCTAACTAAGCCAAGCAGCCATAACCTCCATCTTCTTCTCTATATCCATGGAGCGTACGGAGCTTGCTGGTGAGAACAACGATCTGCCTCGTCCTCCGCCGGATCTTGCTGTTGAAGAGAACATCGATATAAACAACAAGCTGGACTTTGCTTTCCCCTCCTTGGCACGAGCCACCTGCTGACTATGAAATTGGCAATCTGGGGCTGCTCGAGATTCTTTGGAAGGCGAGTGGGAAGCTTGACGTACTATTATTGCTAACCCTAGGTTCCAAAGACTTATGATGACCCTTTAAACTTCTGTAAGTGTTTGGAACTTAGGGTATTCCATTATTTCTACTGAGTTTCAACAAACTTGGATTAACATGATTAGAGAATGTGACAACTGTTTCTTGTTCAAATATTATCAATGGTAAACCTATCAATGGAGGATTAAGATAGGGAGATCCGCTTTCATCTTATGTGTGAAACCTTTCATTCGACATTTAAATAACTCTGAACGCTTCTCTTCTCATATTGAAATGCTATTAAATAATTTTCAATCTACCTCAGGACAAAAGGTCAATCTACATAAATCTACATTTTTTTTCTTGGGTTTCAATTAATAAAACCAACAGTTTCGCTCTCTTGGACTCTATGGTCCAAGAAATTTGTGGTCACCTACCGTTGGAACAATCTAAGCGTGGAGAAAAAACTGATAAGATTGGTGGATTTCGTCCCTCAATATGCCAAACTTACTCGACATTAAATATCCTCACAAAATTTGTTGCAAGCTTTGGTAAAAGGCTACAAACAATACAAACAAAAGAAGGGGGAACAAATCCTATGTGCTCTGTCTTAAACATATAATGATGAAATTCACTTCATTGCCTCTAAATCATTACAATTCTTTTGATCACTGATCATTTCTTTTAAACTTGAGATCACCACTGTAGTTGTAATAAATATCTACTTGTCCCCTCCTCCAAACATCCCCCATCATGTCTATCTCTGGAGAAAGGACTTTGCTCATATGCTGTGCATTCATATTCCAGGATAGTGCACTCATTCCACCCTTCTGAATCTTAAGTCCTTTTCATTTTGCTTCATATCTTGGCAAGGCGCTTCTACTCTTCAAACATCTCCATTACTTCTCTAATTTCGAGACCAGAACCTCGTGCTGTTCGAATTATACGCGACTCATTCATGAGTTTTGGATTTGACCTACCCAACTCTGCAAGACAAGTTAAGCTATTCACTGAACCATGTGAGTTTCTTCCCCACCCCCCAAAGGAACTAAACATGACAGTTATTGCTCAAACTATGTGGCTTAATACACAAAAACAAAAGGAATGGGCATTACTTGCCTTATTTTTTCATTGAATCCATCATGGTCAAGTACCACTTGTTCTTTGCCTGGCTTTCCTTTAGGCGTTAATTCAGCACTAAATCCTGGAGGGATTGAGAAGACTTACATAAGCCAAATAAATTCTTAGCCTGCGGTTGGGTCCTCTCAGCAATAACATCCATGATTATGTACCCTAAAGCTTCTAAATGTGTGTAGTCTCTGTGTGAGAGAGAGAGAGAGAGAGGGAGAGAGTAAATAAGAGGGCAGAGAGTTCATACATTATATATATACTAAAACTGATTCCAATTCCTAAGCTGTTCAAGTTACTCTGATAATGTATTATTTGCCGTACTCATGAGGTAGTTATACAAGTGATCTCTACCGAAAGATGACACGCGTTCAATTCCCAGGCCGCTTCAACCTAGTTTTCTTCCAAACTCTCTTAAGCAATGACTAACTTGATTGTCAATCTCATGGTCTTTAGAGGGCACCACACTAGTGTCCCCTCGCCTTCGTTAGGTTTCTCATGATTTAGTTTATTTTGTATTTGAATTGCATGTTTATTTATTTATTTATATTTTTTGAACTAGTTTATGTCTTATGTACTAAATGCATTTTTTGAGGGGTACGACTCATTATGTCATCCCGATTAGGTTTATTATTTTTTGTTATGAATGAAAAATACTTGTGACGTCGAGTTTATTTGTAAGGTAAATTCAGCTGAGTCCATTTTGAAATCCTAAATCCCAAGGGCGACCCTGGCATGGTGCAAGTGGCAACACTACATAGGGCCCTTGATTTTTGAGGGCCTTGAAATTTTTTTTACTTTATATTTTATATATATATATATTAATATTATAAAAACTGTATATATACTCCAGCGTGCAACATAGTGAAACATAAGTATATGTGGTGGAGTTTGTTTCTAGCACATATCCCTTGGTATAAGGCCCAAGTTCGAGTCTCAATGATATCATGCTATTTGTATTTGTATTCATTTTTCATTATAACAACAAATTTTAAAATAGTTTTTAAAAAAAACCAGAAGCACGTAAAAAAAAGGGGGGGGTGGGGGGGAGGGAAATCCAACTAAACTAACAGTATATATCACACCTAAACCAAAAAAAAGTACTTTCTTCCACTCAAAACAAAACCAATAAAAAAAAAATTCATGCCTTCTTCTGTCTCTTGAACTTTTTTGTTTGGTTTTTTTTTTTTACTGAACATACTAATATTTAAGGGTAATGATTTCCCCACTCCAATTTTATCAACTTATACTTCTTTTTTAGTTATAAAATGGAGTGTAGGTGGATAAAATTGGAGTGGGAAAATCACCACTCATATTTAACTTTATCAAATAAAAAATTTATGAATTTGATTTGTGATTGTTATTACATGCTAATTGATGATGAATTTTAGTTATCAAAAAATTGTTTTATGACATTAAGTCATGGCAAATTTTTCATTATTTTTTATATTAGATTATGTGAGGACTCCTGTTTAAGTTTCGCATAGGGTCCCCAAAATCTCAAAACCGACCCTGCTAAATCATTCCCTAGATATTCCGTAAGACTCTTTGATTTGTTGGGGACGATATTAATTTGGTTTCTTATTGTTCAAAAAATGAAATTAGCAATCTCAATCTCTTTTCTAAAGCTAAGTGGGAAGGGAGGTCTCCTTGGAATATCATGTTTGTTTTCACTTGTTGGTATGAATGGAAGTGGCGTAACCAATACATTTTTAATGATGCTGAGGACTTGCCTTGTGATCCTAGGAAGATTATTTGTGCTGCTGTTTTGGATTGGGTTAAGGCTTCTAGTGTAAATTGTAAGAATGTGCCTAGAACTCAGGTTATGCTAAGGTGGGAGCCTCCTGGAAGTGGATGGGTTAAGCTCAATGTGGATGGCACCTGCATGAATGTTTCTGGGAAAATTGGTGCTGGTGGTGTGATTAGAGATTGTTTGGGGAGTGGTGTGGAGGTTTTGCTGTGAACTTGGGGAAGGGGCGTATTTTGGATGCTGAAATCTGGGGTTTGTTTTTTGGCCTCCGATTAGTAGTGGGAAAGGGCTTCACCAAGATCCTCATTGAAATGGATTCTTAGATTTCTGTGAATCTATTCCAACAAAGGGATTCTCTATGTTTCCATCCTCTAACTGCTTTGCTCTCAAACTATGGGAAGATGCTTAGACATTTTGAGAGTTGGGATATCCAGCATATTTTCAAAGAGAAGAATGGTTTGACGGATTGCCTTGCCAAATGGAGCCATAATCTAGACTTGGATATTCAGTTTTTTGCTTCAGCTCCTATATGGGCTAGCTCTGCGTTAGCTGATGATTTGTTGGGGGTCACTCGGGGCTGTTTGATTTGTACTGGATAGCCTTTCGGGTTTTTGTTTTGGGGTTTGTCCCCCCCATTTTATCAACAAAAAAAAAAAGAGAAGAAGATATTACTTGCTTGGTGTGGTTGTTGGGCTTCTTGCCGCCGATGCCAGAAGCTTGGCTCGACCAACGATGGTTATAGTGTAGTTCTTTTTGTTGTTTGGGATTCGGGCCCCTCTTTACCCAAAAAAAGAAAAAGGAAAAAGATATTACTTTGCACAAGCAGCTCGTGATGGATATAGGTTCTTCTGTCTGTGGCATTACAGGGTTTGACATACATCCATTAAATGCCAATATGTAGATATATTTTCGGCTGCTAGCACCTTAATGGCATCACTGTCAGAACATTGATGGATACAGTGAGTGAGTGAGTGAGAGAGAGAGAGAGAGAGAAAGAGAGAGAGCGCTCAAATCTACTAAATAGTGAGGGAGCAAATATGGGTTAGGCTCGTGCTAAGGCAGTATGGCCGTCTTCTTGCATTCGAGTTCAAATTCTCTCCCGTACATTAGAATAGTTTAGAATATATCTCTTATAAACGGGAAAAACTTGAAAAAAAAAGGGTCCCAAAAAACAAGAAACTTGTGATATGCCCATATACAAATAAACTCTCCCCCACAACTTTTCTTCTTCCCATCTAAACTACAAATCCCGAATCTAACTAAACAAAATTAGGATCAAGAAAAGTCCAGTCTCACGGTCAGTTAATTAACATCCATATAAAGCCTAGAAATTAATTAATCCCCACATAATTAATTAAGAGGAAAACCAGAGAGGCCAGTGTAGCATGGTGGTGGATGAAGTAATATTCATCAATTAGAGGGTACATGGTAGTACTTTCCTCTACAGGTGCACCTGTAGACAATTGGGCAAGACTCTGAAACGGAGCACTTGAAGCTCACCATCACTCTTTTGCATGGAAAGCATGGTCCACAAGCATGTGAACAGTCCGGCAAGCTCGACCCAAATGGGTATAGCTCCATGTTCTCTTCTTTCTTTGCTCCTTCCTATATATATACATGAAGAAGAAAAAACCAAACACATTAAACAACCATATATTAAGGCCCTTTTTTTCCCCTTCCAAAACATTTAGTCATCGTGACAAGTTGTTCCTCCAACAAAATGAAGACTAGATGATTATTTGATACACTATTGTAACACTGAAACTAACAAATTTTTGCGAGAAACGAACCTCAAGGTGCATTCGAACTTTGACTCTGTTACCGGTAACGATTTCTGCTTGAAGGTTTACTGAAATGCCAAGGAAGAAAAATGAAAGTGATAATATTCAAAATAATGAATTATTATTGTGTAACTTATGAATGAGACAATGATATATAGAACATGGAGTGATGAGACATACAAGGGAGGTGAGGCCTCGCACGTAGGCTTCTGCCCATCACAATTAACATGAAGAAAATCCCAAGCAGGAAACTTGTGCGGGCTCCAGGAGACAAGTACTTCTTCATAGTTTTGTAATTTGTTCTTGCAAAGACTAGTCAAATTTGAGGAATTTGATGAAAAGAGATTTCATCAAAATGGAAGGTGAGAAAATCTCGAGAAGCTGTGAAAAAAGGTTGGTGTGTTTGAAGGGGATTTAGAGATGAGGGATGGATGGGAGCAAAGAATAATATATGGGGAAAATATAAAATGGAAAGGAGGGAATGGATTTAAATGTAGCAGGAGGTACATCTGTGGCACATCACATGATCCACGGCTAGCTTTTTAAGTATCACATGTTTTGTCGAGTTGCCCAGTTTTAACATAAAGTCTTGAAATAGTTTGTAATGAATGATATTTCAAAAGTGCACAATTTTGAAAAACCTGTACTGTGCATAACCTTCAAATGACCTAGCAGATTTGTCAGGAATCAGGATACATAGATGTATCAATTAACTTCTTTTGATAGGCTACTATACCTCGTTTGGTTCGCAGGCCATGATAAAATTGAGACTAAGTCCGGTTATATCACGTAGTCTCACTCATGAAGAAGAAGCAAAAAAACTTGCATGAAATGGGAATATCACTGTTTTGTTATCCCAATCAATTATATAGACTGCTATGTAGAAAAGTCATTATACGTGACATGCCGTGATTGGCCTAAAACAGCAAAAATATCTGTTTTACACAAGTGTTTTAGCTAATATATGGGTACTTGTTCAATTTAACGAGTCCGATTAAATTGGTTTTTTCATGCCCTAAAACACATTGTGCCACTTCAAACATAAAATTATCATTTGATCTGGTAGATATAATTACTATTTGTTCTCATGTTTACTAAGCCGATTGAATTGAGGAGGAGTTAGATTGAGGATAATTAGATTTCGGATTCCTATTAAAGTTGTTTACTAAACTATATGGAATTGGGGTAGGAGTGATGCTAATTACTTAAATATCCTTGTTGTTGTATTAAAGTAGATGGCAATTTTAAAATTTTAAAATTGTGTGACGATATAATAGATAAAAAAAAATATGAATTCCTAATGTGTTAGTTCTTTACGAATTAAAATATTACATTCCAACTAAGAATTGAATGTCTAAGTCTGACCATAAATGTATTTGGATTTATTATTAGTGGATCACACGTGCATGTAATAACTCAGAAGCTAGCTAGGCGGCTCTCTCATCAACTTTGCAGAACAACTTCAAACAAAAGCTCTCTCTTTTTGACTTCCACGTGTGGTTGCCTTTAGTTTTCATGAACTACTAGCAACCTATCTGTCACAACTCACTTAAGTTGAGAGTCATTTTAATGCTTGGTGAGTAATTCATTTTGAGCTCAGTGTATTTGAATGAGGGAAATAAATTTATCTTTGTTTAGACAAGAGAAAATAATTTAGAATTTAGCCAAAAGTCGGGAATTTAAGAGAAGAAATTGACAATTCCCTTGTTTGGCAACTTAAGTACGAAATTTATTAAATGAAGTGTGGAAAAAAAGTATGGAAATTATGGCATCAAATTCCAAAGTTTAATTTCCACCAAAATAGGCTTCATTTCACAATTTTCACAGTGTCATTTACAAAATTTGACATACATAAATCTAAACACTGAAATCTTCAATTGCCAGAAATTGAAAGGATGAAAATTTAAATTCCGTCATTTTAGAATTCTATGTAATGTTCAATTTCTTCATCCAAATGGATTTTGACAGAAGTCAGAATTTCTAAATTGACATAAACCAATTCCCGTGTTTGGATAAAAAAACAAAGAAATCCAAAAATTCCATGTGGGGAAAAACATGGAATTTGGAGGTCATAAATACCAACTTTAATCCTCTATTTGGACGAATGAATTGAAAATTACCTAGAATCGTGGGAATTTCGCGAGTTTTTGCCACATAAATGATGGAATTTAGATCTTCATCATTTAAATTTCTGGGAATGATTAATTTCAGTGTTTTGAGTTTTCGAATTTTGTAAATGACAAAAATTATAGCGAAAATAAATTCATACTCAATTGGAATTGTGAAATGACTCTTTTGACGTAAATTAAACCTAGGAATCTCGATCCACAATTTCCATGATTTTTCCCACGCATCATTTAATAAGTTCCATGTTTAAGTTGTCAAACAATGGAAATATCACTTTCTTCTCTTCAATTCCCGAATTTTAGCTAAATTCCGAGTTATTTTCTTCCAATGGTCGTCATTTCTAATATTCCGAGATGATAAACATTAAATTCCGTGTTTAAATTTGGTAGCCAAACAAGAAACTTTACAAATTATAAGACATTAATTTCAGTCATTTTTAAATTTCATCATTCATGAATTCCTTAGTACTCTAAATTTCCTCATCCAAATCCAAACCCATTTCAATGTAGTTATCTTTAATTATTTTGTGTCTTCCACCCAACATAGTGAACTTCTTAAAGGGAAATAATACTTTCCTATAATTATAACACGGCAAGTTGTGTTATCAAAATGATGAAGATATCCGCCGTGCAAATAGTATCCCTCCAATTACGGATATTTTGGGAATCGATATCATTTTAGGCATCATTTCATGCATTTTGGTTCAACATCACTTCAAAGAAAATCTTTGACTGCTTAATTTCAATAGTAATCTAGGGAAAGTTGTTTCCTAGTATTTGGGCTACTTGGCTTGCCATCACCATGCAATTGAGAGGGCTATATTACCGGATTTAGAAGGCACAAAGAGGACACACAATCTCTCTCTCAAATAGATATCAACTTCTTCTCAATTCGGGTTTTCAGTTGACAACTCATGTTAGATGGTAAGATTTCCAGTTGATGTGTAAATCTAATTGTGATGATTTAAGCACTACTGCATTCCTGTTCAAGTTTGTCCAATTCGTTTGTCTTCCTTTTGCTTCTATTCTGGTCCAATTGGGCTCTTTTTCGATTTCTTTAACTTGTACTACCCATTCAAACACATTAATATCTCCTTTAATTGAAGTTCTTTTGGTTCGATTACAATTTCAGCGTTTTATTCTTTGAGTTCTTACATCATGCAAGTGGAATTTTGAAGTCTTTAATATTCCGGACATAGAAAATAATCAATCCATGTCAGTTCCCCACGTAGAGCGCAATGACTTAAAAATCAGTTAAGATTTCATTAGTTGCAAGGCTTCTATTCCATTTTTGTCGAAATTACATTGACTTAACGTTACTAATAGTGGCACGCCTGCGCAAACGCATCATACAAAACATATTCCAGCCCACTAAAGGGGTTTGAATATTTAAAATACATTTAATCCAGTGCTAAAATACAAAGCCATGTTTATGGGGTGAAGAAATACAATACCAAATAAACTCTAACCAGAGCTCTACACAATTTTATTTATACAAATTTATAAATAAACCCAATCCTAGACATGTATTTATAAAAAAACCCAAGCACTATTTAAACATAGAAACACACCCAAAATCAATCCCAAAGTTAACTTTTTGGGTGTGTTTATAAATGGGTTTTGAGTGTGTGTAATGATGAGTTTTGGGTGTGTTTATAAAGTGTTTTGGGTGTTGGGTTTTTTTATAATTTGAACCTCCATTTTGGGTGTTTTAGTGAAACTCCCTTTTATTTACCAGATACGGCAACTTAAAAATAAATAATAAAAAACCACTGCTTCTTGCTGGGCATTCTATTCTAATCCATACACAACGCTCACTACCTCAAGATCTCATAAAAAGTAGATAGTATACTTTAAAAATTATAACTTCTCTTCTTCAACCCAAGTTCTCAATGAAAATCATACTAGTATGAAATTTGGATAAGTGCAGGGAATAAGTAAATGAAAACTCTACAAACAAACACAAATTTTATTTACCACAGATTTCCTAAACAAGGCTCAAACACTTGACAAGATGAAACTAACGAACACGAATTGGTAGAATAGATTTTCTAAAGGTAACAGCTCTGTAAATTGTTGTATCAAATGTCATTCATCTTTAAAACAAAACCATAGTGACAATACCATAAATGAGAGCTCAGGGAAAAAATCAATAAAATGGGAGAGAGAAATCTAAGGCACAATGGCAACAAAGAAAAGACTAACTGGGTTATTTCATAAATTTAGAGAAGAAATGAAGATCGGGTACCTGATCATCAGGGTTACTGAAGCAAATGTCAATGCTGCGATTAGGAGGGGGGCACACACCCCATAGTTTTCATCATATTATGACATTATTTACGCAAAGAGATAGCACAAGAGAGACATATTATGAGAAATGCTTCAATTTCCCTGAAGAACCGTCAAGAAACAGAAACATCACAAAGAAATATGTGAATGGCACTAATGGACATTTTCACTAAGGGTTTGATGATACTGCACCAAGGTTTTCCTTTAGTTAAAGGTTAAATGTACGTAAATATTCAGAACATGTGAAACAATACAATACTTAATAAACTCGAATGAGAGCATTATATTCCCCATATAATTGAAGAGAACTGACCATTCATGGTCCACTAATAATGTAACGTTAGCTAGTAGCGAATTAAATACTGCAACTCAAATCATAAACTGTTTCTGGTCATTCGGATCGTATAACATGTACTCACAATTACCTCCAGATCTCATATAGTGCACATAATCCCATGAAAATCATATTAGTATGGGGTAAGGTAAGTACAGAAAACAGATAACAGAAAAATCTCCAATGCACAATGTCTCAGTACCATGCTATTTGACTCTGTTATTAGCAAAATTTGATTTGGACTTGCCAGGTTTGACAACGGCCAACCTTATGCAACCAGATCTTGATCAAAACCCAAAAGAAAAAGAGGATTAAATCCAGTGTAATTGATTCTCAATCAGACAATGGAATAGGTAAATCTATTATCTTTGTTGCTTTTCTTATCATGTCCATTTATCCCCACAATTTGTGCCCATATGTCAATTCTTTTATTTTACTAAGACCAATATTGAAACCATGAAAAAAACAAAAAATAAGAAAAAGAATACCTTGGATCTCAAACATCTTTGCACCTGAAAATAAAGTTCACCATCATAAAAGATAAAACCAGCAATGAAGAATTGGGACAAAAGATTTCTTTAAACTGTCGCAGCTTTTTAAATTCGAACAAGCAAATTTTCAAATGATCTTATACATAAACCATGACCAAAAAAGGTTAGCAAACTAGCCCAATAAAAGATAAGGTAAAAAAAGAATACGGGTACCTATGTCTCAGAGAAAAGCTCTCTTCTTCAAGAGTATATTTCACGCAAATGCCAACATTTGGATGGTAACTTGAATATATCGTTATCTTAAAATATATATTGTTTAAAGTGTTGAGGCAAATTATGGGGTTCATTCATTGGGGTTGAATTCCTTGATTTCTAAATCGCAGGAATTGCAGCAAAGTTTAAAATAAAGCTCAAACATCTCAAAACCCGAAAATAAAGCTCAAACATCTTAGTACTCGAAAACAAGGCTCAAACATTTTAGTACCAGAAAATAAGGCTCAAACATCTTAGTACCAGAAAATAAGGCTCAAACATCAAACAAGATAAAACCAGCAATGAAGAATTGGAACCAAAGATGTCTTTAAACAAATTTTCCAATGATCTCATACAAAATACTAGTGAAAACAAAACTAGGTCGCAAACTAACCCAATAACGAGGAAAAGAGAGCAAGATAACTTTAAGGCACAAAAGATACAGGAAAAAAAGAAGTTAGAGTGAACACGATAACCATCCGCAAATCAAAACAAAAAGACAATATCATGCTCAAATAGAAGACTTAGAATGACGATCAGAAAATCAGAACCCAAAGAGTTGACAGCTGTAGTTAATAAAAGAAAAAGAAACTCTTGAAATGCTAGACTTGCTTCTATCTCCTGAAAAAAGGATCCAGGACATATCTTGACCATAATTTAATCAAAATAAATTAACGCAATGCTAAAATCCGAACAACCTATACACACCCCAAAAATCCATACATTTTGGAAAACAAGTTTACTTAGGGCCTGTTTGATAACCATTTCATTTTAGTTTTTAGTTTTCATTTTTTGTGCTAGAGTAGAAAAAGAGGGAGAATGGAAGTGAGAACGAGAGTAGAGATAGGATTGAGAGGGAAGATGGGAGTAGTAATAAAAGTGAAAAAAAAAAACTAAAAACTGAAATCTATTTGAAATTGTTTGCACTTTCAACACTTTTGTTACTCCTCCCTCCCATCCCCCCTTTCATCCTCTCTCTCAATCTCATCCTCACTCTTATTCTCACTCTCATCTTCCTCTATACTCTAGCACAAAAAAATGAAAACTAAAAACTAAAAACTAAAATTGAAATGGTTATCAAATGGGCCCTTATGTACAAGTTTTTAAACTGTAGAAGGGCAAAGCAAAACAAGTCAAATTTATGGTGTGCCAAGCCAACCTTACTACTTATTCTATTCTGATACACATAAACACTTGGAAAAATTAAACAGTTAGAAACTACAGAGCAAGGGAAAGTATAATTACACACCAAACAGAAACAGAAACTGCTTCTGTTCCCCATTAGAATCTCTTCTCCACTGCAGTGCTTAGTCACATCAGAAAGTACACGTTTTTGTGTGTAAATGATCAGAACCATAGATCCTGTTTAACATGTCCAAATAAAAATGGTTTCAATTTTTGTTTTTTTGTTTTTGTTTTGTTTGGAGTTCCCTCATCAGCTCTGGCAATTGTTTAAAACGTGGAACTTCTAAGATTTCCATTGATTTGATTTTCAGTCATTGATGATAATAAAAGAAAATTTCAGTGGACTTAAATTTGTGCTCATGGACATTGACAGAAAACGTTTGAAAGGGTGAAATAATACAATACTAAATAAACTCTAACCAGAGCTGTATACAATTTCATTTACCAGATACGGCAACTTAAATAAAAATTCACTACTGCTTGCTGGGCATTCTAATCTATATATAATGCTTAAACTACCTCAAGATCTCATCAGATGCAGATAGTATACTTTAAATATTATAACCTCGCTTGTTCATCAACCCAAGTTCTCAGTGAAGCTTCCTAATTAACGGTTCTTCCAAGTAATAATGTGTGAACCTCAGAAATGAAAGATAAACAAAAATTTTAAGAATAATTTGGCTATAAATTAAGATGAGACTAAATAACCAGTTGAGGTAAGAAAGCTAGGGATAACCACCTCCAACCTTCTCAGCCGTTCCTGTTGATCTTAGAATCTGAGTCTAAGCCAATAGCTCCTCTGTATCTCCACGTGATGATCTTCCCAGCATCCCAAAAGTACTAACTGACCCATGGTCTATAGCCAAGACCTCTAATTTATCATTACCTCCCATGTACATGCTCAAAGACCTCATCGTCTTTGAGCGGCATGTATGGATCCCTCTAAGCCAAAATGGAAGTATTATAGCATCCAAGACATCATTATAGAAGCTATTACAAAAAGATCACAGCACAAACCTTTTTATAGCATTTTTAGAAATAATTGAGATACATTTTATAATAGAAAGCAGCAGTTTTTTAAGAACAAGTTTAGGTTCTTATGCTATAAAAACAAATCACAATTTTGAGTTGACACTTGACCATGGAGGAATGGCTCCTTGAGAAAAAGAAAAAAGAAAGGAAAACAGAAGAAGGAAAGATAAGTGGACAGGTGTTAAACTGTGATTTGTTTGATAAGGAGGAATGAGTTCTTGTGCATAACGAGCCTAAGCCTAAACCAAAGATAACAAATCATTTACTATATGGAAGGTCACAAGAAAACCTATTAGAACAATCAGTAATGGAATTTTTACTCCATTTTCCTTGTAAATTTAACAAGACCAAATACTAATACAAAATCTTAATCATTTTTACCTTAAATAGCCATGATATAACCCTTATTGAAGCGATGATGAAAGCAACACAACTCCAACAGTAATGCAAACTGCAAACTGTACCAGCCACCAAGCCAAAAGAAAAAGAAAAAACCATTATAAGGAGCAATCCCAAGCGTCTATACTAGCTCAAACAAAATTATATACAGAAAGTACCAAAACTAATAACTATTGCACTCAACATAAACAACAAATATATATGTTGTACATATAAAATTTCTCTGATTTAAGATGGAATTTCTCAGTTTATGCAGGGATTTATTAGCGATTAAATGACTTACAAGACAAAAATTCAAAAGAAGAACAAATGAAGAAGGGTTTGACCTCTAGAGTTTGAATGGAAGTGGCTTTCTCATACCAACTGTAACAGAGCTTGATTATTCGCGTTAGTTAGGGTTTGCAGAGCTCAGAGATTAAGACCTCTGAGAGTCAGAGTGAGAGAATTGGGGTTATATGAGCTCAAAGTTAAAAGCCTCACACTCAGAAAAATTGGGGTTGTTATGTCAACTTATGGTGTACCAAGCCAACCTTACTAGTTATTCTACTCTGATACACATAACACTTGGAAAACTCAAACAGTTAGAAACTAGAGCAAGTAAAATTATAATCAAAGAAAAATTGAGAGGACTTAAAAAGGTGAAATAATACAAGACTAATAAACTCTAACCAGTGCTCTGCTCAATTTTATTAGCAGATACGGCAATTTAAATAAATAAAAAACCACGTCTTCTTTCTGGGCATTCTAATCCATATATAATGTTCACACTACCTCCAAATCTCATAAGATGCAGATAGTATGGTTTAAAAATTATAACCTCTCTTCTTCATCAACCCAAGTTCTCAGTGAAAATCATACTAGTATGAAATTTGGACAAGTGCAGGGAATAGGCAACTGAAAACTCTACAAGGCTCAAAGTCCGTATGACAAACACAAATTTTTTTTACCCAGATTTCCTAAACAAGGTACAAACACCTGACAAGATGAAACCAACAAACACAAATTGGTAGCATAGATTCCTAAACCAGTAACAACTCTGTAATTGTTGCATGAAATGTCATTGATCTTTGAAACGTAACCATAGTGACAACAACATAAATGACACCCCAGAAAATAAAAATAAAAAGGGAGAGATAAATCTAAGCCACAAAAGACAAAACAAAGAAAACACTAATTGGATTATTTCATATGTTTAGAGGACAGATGAAGATGGAGTACCTGATTATCAGAGTTACTAACGCAAATGCCAATGCTGGGATTAGACGAGGGGGAACACACATTACATGGGGGGACAGGAACTGACCAGCCGATAACCTTTGCAAATGAACATCTTTGACAAGAAATCGTTATTAAATCAAAACCAACAAAAAGATGCAGACACATTCTTTAACAAGGAATAATTTGTTGGTCAAGATGCTAAATATACTGTCTTGCCTCATTACCATTCTTGATTAAACCAAAAATTAAAAAGAAAAACTAGCACAGAAAGCAATGACTGAAGGCAACACAAAAACAATGATTCTGTCTTGCATCATTACCATTCCATCAGTAATGGAATTTTGACACTCCATTTTCCTTTTCAATTTAACAAAAACAAATACTAATACACAATCTTTAACATTTTCAACTGAAATAGCCATGATATAACCCTATTGAAGGGATGATGAAGGCAACACAACTACAACAGCAATGCAAACTGCAAACTGTACCAGCCACCAAGCCAAAAGAAATTGAAAGAAAAAACCATTATAAGGAGAAATCCCAAGCTTCTATACTAGCTCAAACATAATATGAAATTTGGATAAGTGCTGGGAACAGCAAACTGAAAACTCTACAAGGCACAACGTCTGTATTAACAAACACAAATTTTATTTACCTAGATTTCCTAAAGAAGGCATAAACACCTGAAAAGATGAAACCAACAAACACAAATTGGTAGCATAGATTTCCTAAACAGTAGCAGCTCTGTAAATTGTTGCATGAAATGTCATTCATCTTTAAAGCATAAATTTAGAGGTGAAACGGAGATGGGGTACCTGATTATCAGGGTTACTGAAGCAAATGCCAATGCTGGGATTAGACGAGTGGAGCACCCTCCATAGCAACAACCTTTGCAACTGAACAGCTTATACAAGAAATCATTTTATTTGTACAGATGCCAAACACTTATTCATCATTTCATTCCTTTAATAAATCAAAACAAACTTAAAGATGCAGAAACCTGATTAGCAGGAGTTTGGAATTGCACTATGGTTTATGTTCACAGGGAAAGAAAGGCTGCTGCTGATGCACCTGAGAAGATGGGGGATTGTCTCCAAGTTCTTGATAAACTTCCATGTAATTTTGATTTCAGTTTTATTGCAAACTTACATACTTTTGTCCCTCGTGCCCAAACCATTCGCTCTCAGTTGCATTAGCCATCAAATAGCAATCACACAAAAACTGGCACAAAAAAAAAAAAAAACGAAATAAAAAATACAAAGAGTAGAGAGAGAGAGAGCACAGTGGTCCACTTCATCTGACATGTACAATGTATGATATGAAATGTAAAATGTTTATGGCCAATGAACATCGATAGTATACACAAACACACACAACAGAACATATACACTTTATCTTCTGTTGTATCCTGGAAAAAGTTCCAAGAAGTAAAACATTTTAGAGAAACGATATCGACGTTGGAAACCTCATCTATAACAAATTATATCCTGGAACATACAAACATTTTATCTTATATGCATCATAACAGTGCATACTTTGCTAATGTTTCCAAGATATCTGGATGTGTAGGATTGCATCAGGCAGATACTACCACATCCACATTGGAAACCTCATCTATAACAAACTAGAAAGTAAAACTTAAAGAGATTCCCTAATAACAAGATTCTAAGTAATCCATCTTGTCAAGCAGTGGGTTATATTCCAAATCAGGCATCTCAACAATAAAAAATCAGAATTACTAAAGTATATATTCAACTACTTACCATATACAACAAATAACAGAGGCAAGGTGGCTTGTAACCTATGTCTCATTTTCCTTGTAAACTCTAACCTGTACTTCATGAGCGGATCTCACCTTCCTCCCAATCGCTTTCCCGCCAGCAGATCTCGCCTTCCTCCCAATCTCCATTCAGAAACGCCTCCTCGTCCTGACCCTGCAACTCGTCATCTTCCTTGAGGTACAAACCCAAATGCTTAAGAGGCAATCCAAGGTAGACCTTTTCACTGCCACAGCCACACAGAATCTCAAGTTGTTTGAGATCCTTAAAAGGGTCCTAAAATGGGACTGACTTCTCCATGTTCAAAATAGCAAGGCGAGCCGATTCCCTTTGCTCCATCCGATGCATCAATTTTCTCCTTGGTGGAGAATCAGGTAGACCCTTTAGTATCTTGTTTGCTTTCCGTATTGTACCTGAAAATCGCATCTTGGGCGACTGAATTCGCCTAGCCTTACATGGAGAAAGATTGTCTGTGGCCTGATACATGGCATGCTGAACAAGGGTGCCCAAGTCATCATCTTTGGTTGACTTAACTGAGTGAGAATCAGAAACCCCAACAACCTCTTGACTTTGTATAAGAACCCTACAAGCAGAAGAGCTCTTGCCATTTGGTCTCCGTTTGGGCAGAGGAGGAGTAGGAGGAGGACAAGCAGTCTTTGACATTTTCTCCTCGGCTTCTTTCCACTGGGTCTCAAAAACCCCACTGAGATGCTTGGCTGCTGCACGATTTCTACTCCCAAGGGGGAAATATCTGAAAGCGTTTGAGAAGATAAGCCTGACATCAGCAGCAAAGCCATCAGCGCTGGAGTAGACACCCTTCTCCAATTTCGATTTCACAGTACCCAAATCCATCGGCCTCCAGATTTCGTCGAAATAACCCGGTAAATTCTCAGCCACAGGATCAACAACAGGCTTGTTGAAGTAGCTCGCATGGCCGAGGTTCATCAGAGAATCCAAGACTTTGGAACAATCCAACGTCTCTTTTGAAGCAGACGAAACCAAACCTTTGACTTTGCGCAGAGGAAGACCAACAGTCGACTTTTTTTCAACGGCTACATTCCCTTGGGTCTCAGAAACCCAAGAAGACCTCTTCCTCTTCTGGGTCTGACAGATTTCATCAAAACTCAGATCTTCTGATTCAGGGTCGGCATTTTTTGTAGCAGACGAAGCCAGACCCTTGCGCAGAGGAAGACCAACGGTCGACTTTTCCTCAACGGCTACATTCTCAGAAACCCTAGAAGACCTTATCCTCTTCTGGGTCTGAAACTGAAACTCAAAGGAACCAAAACCATCCTCCAATTGCCTGCGCTTTATAGCAGACCACGCCATTCTTGATTTCAGAACCCAAAATTTCACACAGTCGTTACAGAGAGAGAACCCAGAAAATCACTCGCTCAATCGTTGCAGAGAAAATCACTCGCTCAATCGTTGAACTCAATAGTCTCACTCGATCGCTTTCGCTTACTTGTTGCAGAGAAACAGAGAGATAGAGAGAGACAGACAGAGACGAAAAGAAGAGGGAATGTATTGTTGTGGCGCTATTTTGGTTTTCAAAATGTAAAATGAAAGGTCGGTGTGATAACTTGGTGACTCAGTTGCTGAGTTGTTGCGCGTAAAAAAGTAAAAAGTAAAAAACACGCAGAAACACAACATTTATTTATAAAAAAGATGGCCTTGGGCTTGGGGCACTTAGGTATTTAAGATTTAAATTAATTATTTAGTTTTAAATTAATGAATTTTTTTTAAAATTAATTTAAATTAGTTTAATTAATTTTATTGGGGGCTTATTTTTCTATTTTTAATAATAAATAGTATAATATATTGTCGTTTAATAATCGTGTTATACATATACATACGTAGTTTTCAACAATACTTCCACTTTCCGTACACAAGTAAAACGTACAATACACATACGTGCGGATTTCCCATGTTAAATACACGTGTCTTTACAAAATTATCAACAATACACACAAAGTTCACTTATTATACACACAATTTTGCATATTATTGACCAAAAATAATATATATTGAACATTCATATGCTTGGTAGTAAGGTAAGTTAGCCTAAGAAAAAAGAAGAAACAAGTTAAAAAACAAAATTGATTCATTGCAGGGGTTTTTTAAAAAATTTCTTTAATAAATAGTACAACCGCCCCGCTATAGTATTGAAAATAACAGATTTCAAGAATATTTTTGACCTTTTGTTTTTACTAAAGTTAACATAATACGTTTCAAACGTATAGCCGGGCGGCTATACTGGGGGGTTTATTTTTAATTTCATTAAAAAATAGTATTGCCGCTCGGCCATACTTTTAAAATACATTTGGTACTTGGAATTTGGGTCATACTAGGTAATTGGAAGTTAGCCCACAGAAGGTAATTGAAAGTTGAGCCAAATAGAAATCAATTGGGCATTGAATATATAATATACAACATTTATTTATCAAAAAGATGCCTTGGACCTTGGGGCACTTGGGCATTTAAGATTTAAATTAATTATTTAGTTTTGAATTAATGAATTTTTTTTAAAAATTAATTCAGATTAGTCATGCCAAAGCAAGACTGTTCTATGTGGTTCGAATGACAGTGGTATAATACCATATGAATAATAAAATCTTTCTGCCTAAAGGTGAAAGTTTTTAATAAAGCTAATTCATATGGTAATCATGTGTTGGTGTTATAATAAAGAAAACATCATATACTCTGTCTAAAGGTGAGAATATGATACAGATTTGGGATAAAGATTTTCACATTTGCTTATGGGAGTTTCACTAAAACACCCAAAATGGGGGTTGAAATTATAAAAAAACCTAAGCACTATTTAAATATATAAACACACCCAAAACCCATCATTACACACACTCAAAACCCATTTATAAACACACCCAAAAAGTTGACTTTGGGGTTGATTTTGGGTGTGTTTCTATGTTTAAATAGTGCTTGGGTTTTTTTATAAATACATGTCTAGGATTGGGTTTATTTATAAATTTGTATTTGCTTATTCAGTGAATGCCAGTTTTGAATGCCATTTCCAAGAACCTCGGCTCCATAAGAACCACTTACAGGAATTAACTACAGGAAGTGGAAACTGGATTTGCTTAAAGAACATCAATTTTTAAGAATACATACTGTGTGTTTCAAGAATATCATATTGTTTTTGTTTAAAGAACACTGACTTATTTGGTTTAGTTTTCAAGTGGTATAGAGTACATATAGTGCTCATAAATTTTTGTTCCGTTTTCGGGTTCAGGGTTTAGCAAACCTGTTTGGGTTACAAATTTTCAAAGTCGTTTGCACTTGCGCGTTTTTTGAACAAGCTGGCATGTCTTTATGTTACAAATACAGAGTAATAAACTGAAATTAACCCTTAGACAATTCATTGAATACATATGAGTTTATGAGTACAACTAAGAAAATTTCCGGCCCAAATTCGAAACTAATTTGCAGTTAACGGCATTGGAAAAACGTTTTACCAAATAATGATGAAATAAAATAAGAGATTATATAGGATTCTCTTAAACTTTTTTTTGGCCAAGTTTTGACACACGATTTTTAATCATAATCCGCGTTATTGTTGCAGAAATTATATAGTTTCGGAGGTCCAAAAAAATATACGCATATACATAAAAAGTGTGGAGTCCTTTTGATCAAGGTCCAGGGCCGCGGCGGTGCCCTAGATTGAAAGAAAAGTAGCAATAAGAAGCAAGTCCTCTCAGATTCTAGCAGACTTGTTTGGGTTACAAATTTTCCAAATCATTTCCACTTACACGTTTTTTGAACAAGCTAGTCAACACTTTGTTTTTTTCCAAATCATTTCCTTCGGTTTTCCACTTACGTGATGATGGGGAAAAAAGGGACGATCCACTCAGACTTTTGTTTACTCTCAGCTCTTTGATTTGTTTTTTTTTTTTTTGTCATAAGTCTCGTCAGCTCTCAGTCCTAGTCTCCTTGCTGAACTGACCCAATGGGTGTGGGTCCCACAAATTTTGAGTTTCCTCTCTTTTTCTCCCACAAATTTCCATTCCCCAAAACGGCCATAAACCCCCAGCAATAAGTTGGTTTCCTTAAACCCTCTCTGTGTTTATAAAACTCTGTTTTCAATTGCGTTCAAATTCATAACAGAGAAATTTAGTCCAAGGTCTGACGCACAGCTGAAATGGCCAGGTACTCGTTCTTCTTCTTCTTTTCCTTCTCTTTCTCTTTTTATCCTATGGTGTTTTCTCAACTATCCTCAAACCAAAAAACCACTATGATCAATCTCTCCAGGAGTCTAAATGTCACTAGTATTTCATGGGATATCAACAAAGAGCCAAACCCATGTTTGTGGAAAGGAGTTAGCTGCAATTCCCCTTCCTATTCATCTGTTATCAAAATTTCCTTATCTGGGGTTTTTCTATCTTCCTCAGATTTTCTGCCCCTTGTTTGCCAGATTGAGTCCTTGCAGAATCTTGATGTTTCAGGCAATCGTCTGAGCAAAATCCCATCTAAGTTTCTCTCAGATTGTGGAAAACTTCATGAGCTAAAGCTACTCAATTTTAGCTATAACAATTTGGAGGGTTCTTTGCCTCTATTTGTTGGTTTTGCTGGGTTGGAGTTCTTAGACTTGTCTCATAATAGGTTGAGTGGAGCCATTGATTTAGAGTTAGATGGGTTAGTTGGGCTCAGAAGTTTGAACCTTAGCTTGAACAATTTCACTGGCTCTGTTCCTACCCGTCTTGGAAAATCCAAGGTCTTGAAGGAGCTTCAGCTTTCTATGAATAAGTTTCATGGCATAATCCCTGTTGATATTGTGGGTTACCGCAATTTGACTCTGATTGATTTTAGCTCAAATAATATTTCTGGGTCTGTTCCTGACAGAATTGGAGAGCTCTCCAAACTTGAGGTTTTGATTCTGTCGTCCAATAGTTTATCTGGAATCCCACAAAGCCTTTCGAATATCACAAGCCTTACCCGTTTTGCTGCAAATTCTAACAAATTCAACGGTGCAATTCCTGCAGGAATTACAAAACATCTGAGAAATTTGGACCTAAGCTACAATAGCTTAAGTGGTTCGATTTCATCGGATCTTTTGTCCCCATTGAATCTGCAGACTGTGGATTTGTCTAACAATGGATTAAGCGGATCGATACCTACAGCTCTTTCTCCGAGCTTGGTCAGATTGAGATTGGGAAGCAATTCACTTGATTATGTAATTCCAACTGCGGCCATTGCGACACTCCAAAACTTAACTTACTTGGAGCTGGAAAACAATGCATTGACCGGATTGATTTCTACTGAATTGGGTTTTTGCAAGACTTTGATGCTGTTGAATTTGGCTGGGAATCAGCTCTCCGGGTCTCTGCCAATGGAGTTGGGTAAGCTTAGCCATCTTCAAGTCTTGAAACTTGAACTTAACCTTTTGACTGGACAAATCCCAATTCAAATTGCTCAAATGTCGAAGTTGTCGATTCTGAATATCAGCTGGAATTCTCTGAATGGTTCGATACCACCTTTGGTTGCAAGCTTGAAGAATCTCATTAACATGAATTTACAAGGCAACAATCTCAGTGGTTCGATACCGGAAAATATTGGCTCCATGACTTCTCTGATGGAACTCCAACTTGGAGAAAATCACTTGAGCGGTGACATTCCAAGCATGCCAACTACTCTGCAGATTGCTTTGAATCTCAGCAGCAATCTTTTTGAAGGACATATTCCGGTAACTCTTGCCAGGCTCACGGGATTAGAAATTCTGGATCTCTCAAATAACAAATTCTCAGGTGAGATACCCGCATTTTTTAGGCAGTTGGGAGCCTTGACGCAGTTGTTACTTTCCAACAATCAGCTCTCTGGAGAAATTCCAGAATTTGATTCTCGGGTCATCGTCAACATAAGTGGAAATGAGGGTTTGACAAATACTAGTCACACAGAACCACCAACAACTTCACCCAAATCGGAGAAGGCGAAAATGTCATGTGCTGAGATAATTTTACTTGCAGTTGTAGCAGCTGTTTTCGCTGTCGGAGGATGCACCATCCTTGCTATATCACTATTAGGATACAAATTGGTAAAAAAAAGAAATTGATTGCTCTTTAGGCGATGATGTGGATTCTTTTACCTATGCTTTTTACAAGAAAATGTTTTGTTATTATTTTTCACACATGGCATCCATTTAAGCAAAATAATGAATCACAATCGTGTTATGTTAGCTTTTTAAATAATTTTTTTTTAACGGACTTGATGATAAGGATAAATGAGACGCAAAATATCAATCAATGGGCAAAGTTAATTTACACCTTGAAGAGGAGGGTGCATGGATATCAACATAGCTGTTTCAAAAACCTGTGGCT